ATACCTGGAGAACAGACTGAATTACTGTAAAGAGAGCGTACAAATGAATTACGCGAAACTAAGACTGGCTTTGCCACAGCAACAGATAAACGAAACGGAGAAAGCATAATTTTTGGTGCCTGGAAGGTTATATATAGTGCTGGGATGAGGGAACATTGATGCGCAAGGAAAAGGCAAAGGATATAATTCAGGTTTCAAATTGCACTTCACGAGATATGCACGTGTGCAGGGGAAGTTCGCGAGCTTGGGAAAAGGTGTGCTAATGCCCTTCTGTAACAAAGATTGCTGTTTTTTATGAAGCATGTAAAAAGTGATCTTTTCAAAAATTTATCGCTGCAAGGGAAACGAAAAAAGTAATAAATACCCCTTCGTCGGTGAAAATATATTTTGAAAAATTTGAAAATATTTGTAAAAGGGTCAGTTGCTGCTTTAGGCAGTCAGTACCGAGAAGCTACGACGTAACCTTAGGAGTTTGTTTTCAAAAACTAGTAAATTAATTAAATCTGATGCTGCAAATTCAGTTTTTATGCATTTTCGCATCTTTATACAAGTACAAAACGCATATTATCACGAGGTTGTGTGTATGGTATAACTTGTGTGTATGGTGTAACTTTATCACTCACTTCCAATTCTAGAACCGGAGAAATCAGAAAGATAGAATTTTACGAGCTTGTTCTTACCGCAGATGCTGTCCTTACAAACTGAAATCACCGTTCACCGTTCAAGTACGCCAAAAAAAAACATGTGTAGTTTTAGAACGAAAACGTTTAGGAAAACAGACAAAGTAGAAAATAGGAATTACACAGGGATGTTCTCTGTGCATGTGTGAGCTAAGGATTTCAGATACAGCTATAACGTACGCTCACGAGGTTGACACCGTGACAAGTGAAAAATTAGCCAGAAAAAGGCAGCTGCAATTTTCTCCAAAATGCAATTTACGGATGCGAGTTCCCATGTAGACGGTGAAAATTTTTGCAAAATTACAGTTGTCTTTTCCCGCTAATTCTCGAGGTGGTGCTGACCACTGGAAATTTAACGTTGAAATTTAACGTCTGGGTGTGCGTGACGTGTGGCGGTAGGTTATAGCTGAATTTGGAATCTTCAGCTCACCTATGCACAAAAAAACATCCTTGTGAGATTTCAACTTTCTGTCTTGTCTAGTTCTCGAAATCGTTTTCCGTCATAAAAATCGTCGTCTGTACTAGAGATCCAAACATACGTGAACATTGATTTTGAAATCGAATGATCGCATATGGCCTTTCTGGAACATGCTCACAAAATTTCAGCTTTAGTTCTCCCATCCTCAAGCTAAAGTGTGGTGACAAAATCACTCGCTACCCTTCCACATACACACATACAAATAAAAACACGCACACACATACACACGCGCCTACATACACATGCGCACATATGCACACACGCACATATGCACACATGCACACACACTCACACACACACACATACAATCACATATACGGACACACGTGTGCACACATGCATATATATATATATA